AGCACATTAGCGTTCATAATTGTTCCTTTAGAGCAGGACGGGCTGGCGTTCCAAGCCGTTTGGCAGGGCCGAGGCAACAGTAATGAGAAACGACTCTGCGGCCCACGACCGGAATACTAAGCGGCTTCCCTAAATCTCTTCTGAGGGAAGGAAGAGAGGAAGCAATTCACACAGGCCCCGCTTCGAAGGCCCTGCGTACCTGACGCAGATACCTGTATCGTGTCCCCCCCCCCTTTCATGAATAAATCCCCCCTCCCCTCACTTTTCTGCCTTGGGAGAGCAAACAAGAGGTGATGGATGAGGAGGGACAGATGGCCCGGCCAATTCAGACGGATACATCCAATAAACGTGACTGGCGGACGGCTTTCCAAGGCTCCTGCCAAAACAGGCTGTCAAGAGCAATTTAAGGAGACTGGAGCAGGAGCTCCAGATGTTCGGCGACCGAGACAGCGACCGGCCGCCGGCCTGCTCAAACAGGCTCCATGCCTGTGGTCCGCTGGCCTTCAGGGGTCAAGACCTGAGGGCAGCTGCAACCCCATACATCCCAGAATGAGAGAGAGAGATGTGGAGCACGATCCTGAAATGAATTCAGACACAATAAAGAGCAACGAGAGAACCAGTTCTAGCCTTGGCAGTGGCACTGATATTCTTTCTTACTACCACGGCAGCCATTACCGTATTTTTCGCTCCATAAGACACACTTTTTTCCTCCTAAAAAGTAAGGGGAAATGTCTGTGCGTCTTATGCAGCGAATGCGTGGACCCTGGAGCCGAACTGCCCAGGGGCAAAAAGCAAATCGTGCTTTTTTTTTTTTTTTTTTAGAAAGAGGGAAGGGGGTGTTGAAACAAAGCTGCTGAGCAGCTGATCGGCAAGCGATCGGGAGGGAGATAAGGGACTCTAGAGATAAAGGAGGCTGCCTGGGAGGGGGGAGGTAAAAGCACATGGATCCTCAGGATTTTTGCATTGGGTCACCCCAAATACACCATCAGATTACAAAGCATGTCCATGGCTATAGCCTGCACCCAAAAATCACGCATCCACTGTTTTGTGGGGCCGCAGTGGTGCAAAAACATGGTTACAAAGCATGGATCCACATGGATTCTCAGGATTTTTGCATTGGGCTACTCCAAACTCACTGTTAAATCACATATCATGTCTGTGGCCACAGCATGAACCACAAAAATCATACACCCACTGTTTCGTTCAGAATATTTTTTTCTTGTTTTCCTCCTCTAAAAACTAGGTGCGTCTTATGGTCAGGTGCGTCTTATGGAGTGAAAAATATAGTAATTTCTGAGGGAAGCGGCCATTTGCCCTTTCGAAGCCCTGTAGAACCCCACAGAGAGCAACTGGTGAAAACAGCACAGAAAAGGGGCGAGAGGGAAGCAGGGCCCGGACTCCAGGCAATATATTACCTGAGCCACAGTTTCCATGGTAACTTACCACCTCCGTCTTGAGAGTGTCATGGACCCCCCCCCCCGCCGCCACAAGGTGAGGCACGGCAAAGCCATCGCCCGAATGTCGATGAGGAAAGAACAGAACAGCACCCAAGGGCTGCGAGGAGAAAGCACTCAAACGTCAGCCCAATGTAAGCTGGTCTCAGACCGTAATAATAATAAATTATTATTATTATCAACCCAGTATACAGAATCCAGGCCAAGCGATGGCCAGAGTCCCACGAACAATCAGAATGGGTCTCTTCAGGGTCTGATGGTTTTAACTTAATGCCACAATTTTTTTCTTGTTTTATTTATTACATTTAAATACAGCCTTTATATTCCAAGGATCTCGAGGCGGTACTGTAGATGCTTCTCCCCCTCCTCCCCATTTCATCCTCACAACAACACTGTGAAGTAGGTTAGGCTAAGAGATGGTGACTAGCCCAAAGTCACCCAGTGAGCATCATGGCAGAGTGGGGACTCGAACCCTGCTCTCCCAGGTGCTAGTCCAAAACTCTAACCCAGGGGTCAGCAAACGTTTTCAGCAGGGGGCTGGTCCATTGTCCCTCAGACCTTGTGGGGGGCCGGACTATATTTGGGGGGGGGATAAATGAATTCTTATGCCCCACAAATAACTCAGAGATGCATTTTAAATAAAAGCACACTTTCTACTCATGTAAAAACACCAGGCAGGCCCCACAAATAACCCAGAGATGCATTTTAAATAAAATGTCACATTCTACTCATGTAAAAACACTGATTCCCAAACCATCCACGGGCTGGATTTAGAAGGCGATTGGGCCGGATCCGGCACCCAGGCCTTAGTTTGCCTACCCATGCTCTAACCATTAAGTAGCACAGTCTCTCTCTATCTCTCTCCCCACTTGTTACTTTGAGCCAGAGCAGCTGTATGGAGAAGGCAGCTTAACAAAGAGAGAAAGGGCACCAAGGTTTAACTACAGCCACAATTAAACAGGCCAGGGTGATCTCTCCCCCCCCTTTAAGTCTTTACCTGGCACTGAAAAGGTACTGCCAAGTGTAGAGATCCCAGGCTGCTAAGTGCTCCCAGTGCAGGATAGCAGCAGAATCCCATAAACTCAGGTCTGCTCAATGTGCCCTGAGAGGAGGCAGAAGCGGACAGCCCAAGTCTGGGTTCTCATGCCATCAGCTCTTGAAATGCGCGCGCGCGCACACACACACACACACACACAGCATTTTATTCTTTAAGTTGCCTTGGGCGCCTTATCTGAAAAGCAGTATATAAATGCAATCCATCAATATCACCCCCCAAGCAACCAGATGCTAAAAATATTTCTGCAAGTGCCTAAGAACGAAGGATAAATAAAGCAGCGTAATCAGGGCTGGATCAAAGAAAGCAGAAGAATGAGAAATTAACTCTGAACCAAGAACGAATGGGAATGGAACCGAGAAGCCGTTTACAGCAGAGAGGTCACCTGAAAGCCTCGGCAAAGGAATTCCGCACAGAAAGCCTGCTTGTCTGCAGCCCAGAGAAGCAACTTGTTGTCCGGGAGGACCAGCCTTAAAAGTTTAAAGGCAGCCTCCTCCTTCAACCTGAATCCCCTGCTTGAACTACAATTCCTATTATTTACTTCGGGTTTTGCTTTGCTCATATTAAAGGTAAAGGTAAAGGGACCCCCCGATCATTTGAGTCGTGACCGGCTCTGGGGTTGCGGCGTTCATCTCGCTTTATTGGCCGAGGGAGCCGGCGTTTGTCCGCAGACAGCTTCTGGGTCATGTGGCCAGCATGACCAAGCTGCTTCTGGCGAACCAGAGCAGCGCACGGAAACGCCGTTCACCTTCCTGCCAGAGTGGTACCTATTTATCTACTTGCACTCTGATGTGCTTTCGAACTGCTAGGTTGGCAGGAGCAGGGACTGAGCAACAGGAACTCACCCCGTTGCGGGGATTCAAACCGCCGACCTTCTGAACAGCAAGTCCCAGGCTCTGTGGTTTAACCCACAGCGCCACCCGCGTCCCTTTTGCTCATATTATCTGAGGGCAAATCAGCCAAGCTGTTGCTTTCAGAAGGATGTTAAGAGCCCAGGCAAGGCCCTTAAAGGATGCCTACCTAGGCATCCTGGTCTCACAGCAGCCAATCAGATGCCCGAAAGCAGGTCACAGAATCATAGAGGGACCCCCAAGGGAATTCCCAATGCAGGAATCTCAACTAAATAATCCATGACAGATGGCCATCCAACCTCTGCTTAAAAACCTCCAATGAAGGAGAGTCCATCACTTCCCGAGGGAGACTGTTCCACTGTCGGACAGCTCTTAGTGTCCTGATGTTTAGGGGGAATCTCCCTTCTTGCAACTTGAAGTCATTCATTCGAGTCCTACCCTCCAGAGCAGGAGAAAACAAGCATGCTCCTTCTTCCATCTGACAGCCCTTAAGGTATCATAGAATCATAGAGTTGGAAGAGACCCCAAGGGCCATCGAGTCCAACCCCCTGCCAAGCAGGAAACACCATCAGAGCACTCCTGACATATGGTTGTCAAGCCTCTGCTTAAAGACCTCCAAAGAAGGAGACTCCACCACACTCCTTGGCAGCAAATTCCACTGTCGAACAGCTCTTACTGTATTTGAAGACGGCTGTCATATCTCCTCTCAGTCTCCTCTTTTCCAGGCCAAACATACCCAGCTCCTCCAAGCGCTCCTTGTAAGGCTTAGTTTCCAGACCCCTACTTTGGCCACCTCATGAGAAGAGAAGACTCCCTGGAAAAGACCCTGATGTCGGGACAGATGGGAGGGCACAAGGCGAAGGGGACGACAGAGGACGAGATGGTTGGATAGTGTTCTCGAAGCTACCAGCATGAGTTTGACCAAACTGCGGGAGGCAGTGGAAGACAGGAGTGCCTGGCCTGCTCTGGTCCAGGGGGTCACGAAGAGTCAGACACGACTAAACGACTAAACAATAACAATCATCTTGGTTGCCCTCCTCTGCACACCTTCCAGCTCAGGGCCCAGCGAACGTTTTCAAGAGGGGGCCAGTCCACTGTCCCTCAGACCTTGTGCGGGGCCGGACTATATTTTGGGGGGGATGAATTCCTATGCCCCACAAATAACCCAGAGATGCATTTTAAATAAAAGCACACATTTTACTCAAGTAAAAGCACCAGGCAGGCCCCACAAATAACCCAGAGATGCCTTTTAAATAAAAGGACACATTTTACTCATGTAAAAACACACTGATTTCTGGACCGTCCACGGGCCAGATTTAGAATGCAATTGGGCCGCATCCAGTCCCCGAGCCTTAGTTTGCCTACCCATGTTCCAACTTATCAACACCCTGCTTAAATTGTTTTCTGTCCACCTGCGATTCCCAGCGACTGACATTCAGAGGCGGGCAGCAAATGGACGTGTATCCTGCTTAAATTGTTCCTTGTGAGTTTGCAACTGCAGTGAATGCTCCTGAAAGATTATTCAAAGTGGACTCTGACAAACAGATGCCACAAGTAAATACACAGAGAACCTTTGGCGTGGAATCTGAACTCGCTGAGGTTCAACGCAACTGGCCCAGGCCAGGCCCATTATAGACTCACCTGCTCCACTGAACAAGTCCCCTTTGTGCTCGACATCAACACCTTCTTCTCAGTGCTGTCAATGGCAAACGTCAGGATCGACTGGGCTTCCTGCAAGAAGGAAAAAAAGGCCCTGAGGTTTGCAGATCTACAATCAAGACCCAGAGGCTGTAAGGCAGGATGGGTAAACCCAATTGATTCTCCAAGTATTGAGGGACCAGCGGTTTTTGCCTACATGGCCAGCGGTCAGATGTGATAAGAGCCACAATATACCCACCCCTACTGTGACCCATGTGGGACGCGGGTGGCGCTGTGGGTTAAACCACAGAGCCTAGGACTTGCTGATCAGAAGGTCGGTGGTTTGAATCCCCGCGACGGGGTGAGCTCCCATTGCTCGGTCCCTGCTCCTGCCAACCTAGCAGTTTGAAAGCACGTCAAAGTGCAAGTAGATAAATAGGGACCGCTCCAGCGGGAAGGTAAGTGGCGTTTCCGTGCGCTGCTCTGTTTCGCCAGAAGCGGCTTAGTCATGCTGGCCACATGACCCAGAAGCTGTATGCCGGCTCCCTCGGCCAATAAAGCGAGATGAGTACTGCAACCCCAGAGTCGGCCATGACTGGACCTAATGGTCAGGGGTCCCTTTACCTTTACCGTGATCCATAATCAGCTCTAGAAGGTGGTAAATTGGGGTCAGGGCCCCAGTCAGAAATTTGTGGTTAAGGGATCTGAGAGGGTAAGGAATAGCTGTACAACATCCAGAACCTAAATGCAGGCACTTTAAACTGGCATAATTACTATGTCTTTGGAAGTAGTTGCACTGAATCCTACCTCCACATTTCCCTAGATATTTCCTTTCTTTTCTTTTTTGAAAGAGCCTTGTTAAAAATAATAACAGCGAAATACAGTATTGTAACTCAGGAGGGACTTTGTGTTGGAAGCTTGGGGGTTGGAAGAGAGGTTTTGAATGCATTAAAGCTGATAGCATTAAGGACCTCCAGATTGCTAGACCATCCCTGTACAGTGGTGCCTCGCAAGACGAAATTAATTCGTTCCGCGAGTTTTGTCGTCTTGCGATTTTTTTTGTCTTGCGAAGCACGGTGTCGGGAAAGTTTTGGAAAAGCTTCAAAAATACCAAAGTCTTTAAAAACCTCAAAAAAGGCTACCACACCGCGTTCTATGAGTTGCTCCTCGAAGTCAAGTCGCAACAGTATTAACGGTGTTAAGAAAAAGGAAACAAACTTGCAAGACGTTTCCGTCTTGCGAAGCAAGTCCATAGGGAAAATCGTCTTGCGAAGCAGCTCAAAAAACAAAAAACCCTTTCGTCTAGCGAGTTTTTTTGTCTTGCGAGGCATTCGTCTTGCGAGGTACCACTGTATCTTTAACCTCTTGAGCTGACCTCTCTCTCTCTTTGTTGTTCATTTCATAGAATCACTGGTTGGAAGGTCCAGCCCCCTGCAATTGTCCCTTATGGGGTTTGAACCTGCAACCTTGGCGTTGTCAGCACCACACTCTAACCAGACTGATTATGTCTTAGGTTGCATCCTGTTTCACAACTTCCTCCTCCTCTTTCAGACCGCAAGATGAGTGATCATCTTTTAACTATCCTCTGAGAGGACAAAGGAGCAAACCTTGCTCTTCTCTAGACTAGTTAGACTAGGACTAGGAACTTTTCTATCCAAGCTATGTATTTGTACCATAAACAACTTAATTATTTTCTTACCTACAACAACCACCTCTGTGTGTGATTGCAAAAGTCTAGTCTCAAAGATTCGCTGGCTGAAATACAGCTCAGTCTGCAATTGCAACTGGCCCATTACTTAAGAGTATTACTTAAGCACAGACCTGTCATAAAAGTTGTAGAAAGCTGTACAAAGCTTTCAAAAAAGGTGTATTACCTGGTCTTTGCTTTGCCTTCTCCCTTGGCCCTTCAACCATATGAAAATTCCCCACCTTTTGGATCAGCGTCAAAGGTGCTTCTTTAGATTTGAGAAGTGTGATGGGCAACTGAGTATATGACTTTTAAAATTTTAATTTTCTACCTCTCAATCTCAAGCCATTTTTGAGATACGGCATTTTCTGCGGTAGCAACTGTGACTGTACAAAAATGTCCCAAAAATGTCCACTTGGTGACTTAGTTCTTACTGTTAAGGCAACTAGGAAGGCTATTTTAATTCTCTTGAGCTTTCTGCTCAACGTTCTGCTGTCTGAATCTGGCTGATTAAATCAGACCTGGCCTATTTAAGTTTTGCTGTTTTCCTGCTGTTGTTTAAATGTTCGGCAATTTAATTCAGTTTAGTTTCTACTGCTGAATTGATTTACTTATGTGAATTGTTCTTGTGACTGCTTATAATTTGTAACCAACTTTTAGCGCTAGTCAATTTACAGATATATAATGGTGGAGAAGTGAAGAAAATAACAAAGCATAATCTGGGTCAGTTAACCATCTGGTTGTCCTCAGAATTAGGGAGACAGAGGATGGGATTCCCCCCCCCTTAAAAAGAACAAACATTCAGTGCTTCCCTAAGGATAAAGTTAGGGTGCTGTTCTGGATTACTGCAGAATATAAAAATATAATCTTCTGCAGATACTGTGTGAGACACAGCACAGTTTCAAGACTGGATTGGTCATCAGTTATGCCTGGAGACATTCTTCCCCCTGCAAACGAAATTCTAGAAGGAGATGCAACTTTGCATCTATTTAAATGTGGAATAAATTTCCCCTGATAAAGGTATTTGAAACACACTGGGAATTATTCATTAAATTATTCTTGCACCTAATTGGCTTCACCTTCTGAATTTCCCCCAAGGCATTACTGGAATGAGAAATGGAGAAAATGTCCTTTGGTTATACGGCAGAAAACTGGAAGGTGCGTTTTTTTTAAATAAATGGCTTGCATGATTCATCCAGGCAGAGAATGCTACGGTACTTGGATCTGCAAGCCTCCTCCCTGCTCTTAACCATCTCCAAGCCAAACAGGCCATCTTTGGGCTGGCAACGCACAGAACTAAATTACGTGCTATGTTAAGAATTGGGGGCCCTCCCTGATCTTTCTGGGGAAAGCTTTCAAGAGAGAGCAGGCAGCAGACAGAGCCAAATTGCAGTTGATTAAGGGGAGCCCTGGGTAGAGAAGGCAGCTGGCGATGGATTGAATCTGCTGGCCAATAAAAAGGAGCAAAGCCATTAGGAAAGGCAGTGAGGGCCAGGCGGTAGGGGACAGGGAGGCAGAGAGAGAGAAAGAAAGCTATTGACCTGTCAGGTCACCATAAGCAATTACCCACCCGAGCAGATAAAGGAGTGAACGATAGGTCTGCATCCCTTCTGTGGCACCGGGCCAACTATGCGCCTGCTGGAGGGCAAGCAGGGAGCGAAGGAAACCTGGGTGAATGGGAGCCTAGCCAAAAGCCAGAGATCCCCAACGACCTACGACCTTCTCCGCTGCCGCAGCTGCGGGTGGGATCCCAGAAGCCCCCAGGGTTAGAGACTTCACGGCTAACCTCATCTCCCTGCCAATGGTGGGGAAACCAGAACCCAAAACGTCTGGCTCTCACGGCTTTTGCATTCCCCCTTTCTACAACCCCTCTCAATTCCAACCTGATAATTGCCACCTGCCCAGATTTTAACTTGTCTGAATTAATTTTAAGGTGTATTTTAGTTAATTGATGTCCGTTTTTATGCATAGTGTGTTGTTTTTATGATTTTAGCTGCTCTGAGCTCGGCCTTGGCCAGGGAGGGCGGGATACAAATAAAAAAATTATTATTATTATTACAAAGAAACGTAGGTGCTCTGTTTTTCTGTCTCTCCCCAACTGGGTTCCCTCCCCCCTGATGTTTTGGACTACAACTCCCATCAGCCCCAGCCAAAGCAATAGGTTATCTTATGCCATGACACGCGCAGGTAAGTCTCATAACTCTCTTCCCCAAAGGGGAGGTGCAAGGGCGCCAGCTGCCTGGCTAGATCTCCAGAACATGCTTGGAGCCAGCTGCCCGCAAGTACTGGACCCACCTGTGGGAGCCCACAGTCCTCCTTCACCTTAGTGGGCAGCACTCACCTGGAGGGGTGCTGTGGCCCAGGCGTCAGTCGCATGCATCCAGTCCCCACCTACCATCCAGGCCAATTTCAGGAGCAGAGGAAACTGCCTTATACTGAACCAGACCATTGGTCCATCCAGCTCAGTACACCAGCTGGAATCAGCTCTCCAGTTCCAGGCAGGAATCTCTCCCAGCCCTGTCTAGGATTGATCCTGGGACCTCCTGCCTGTGAGGTAGCTGCTCTGCCACTGAGCTATGTCCTTCCCCTGATCTTTCAGAGGGGCGACTTGTTGCACTGCAGCAATACAGGCATTTGAAAAGATGCATCTATCAGAAACCTCCTCTTCTACCCAATTCATGCAGGAGCCCCAACGCAGATAGCATTGGGCCATCTTTTTTACTAGACCGAACTGAATCCTGCCAGGATAAGGTGACTAAGCCCAGCAAATTCCGCCTTCTTCATTTCAAGCTGAAGGGCACAAAAAGGTATGTTTCCTCCTCCCACCTCTCCTCAAATCAGTGCACCGTTGATCTCTGGAACTCCCTTCCACTAGAAAGTGCAAAGGCATCCCACCCCCTTGCTGAGACATCAGGATACCCACCTTTTCCTGCTTCGCTGTGGGGTCCAAGGTGATGTTGCCGTCCGCGTCCAAAGCACACGTCACTCCGCAGAACAAGGACTTCATGGGTAGCCCTGCGTCCATCAGACCCACGCAGGTGGCATTCAAGCAGCTTGCTAGCAGCTGCAGCGGAAGAGGTTTTATTAAGGAAAAAAACAAGTCCCTTAGGAGGCAGGAACAAGCCTGCATCAGCAACGGCACACAGCACAACACAGAAGAACGTAAGAAGGGCAGGGAATGCAAAAAAGTAAAGAACTTCAGGGGAAATGATATATAATGAGATGAAAAAGATGTTGAAATAAACATTTTAAAAAAAAAACAGAAGCATTTTGACTTGGTATTATAGATCAGGACATTAACAGGCAAGATGTTAGATTGTTTTTATATGCAACAACTGCGGCAAGAGTATTGTTAGCCCAGAAAAGGAAACAAGAAGAAATTCCGACGAAAGAAGAATGGCAGACGAAATTAATGGACTATGCAGAATTCGACAAAATGACAGGAAGGATTCGAAACCTGCGGGACCAGAGATTTACAGAAGATTGGAAGAAGTATGTGAATTATTTGAAGAGCAACTGTAATCAACAAATTACGCTAGTAGGACTACAAGAAGTTTTGTAAGGAGAAATATACAAAGTGTTACGAAGTAGAAAAAGACAGAGATATTGGTTATGAGTTTGAAATGTAATAGGGAAAATAAATGCATATTGAGAGATTAGATTGGAAAATTTTCAGGCAGGATTGACGGAAGTCAAAAAAATGGAATAAGATGCAAAAGGATGTTTAATTACTGTTGAAAATGATATGTTAAAAAACTAATAAAAATTTTATATATAAACAAGAGCCTCCTCTCCTCTCCTTTGCTTTCCAGAAACTGGTATTCAGAAGCATTTCTGTCTCCAGCTGTGGAAGAAGAACGGCCATCATGGCTAGAAGCCATCAACAGCCTTCACCCTGAATCGGTCCAATCCTCTTTTAAAGCCACATACATCAGTGGCCATCACTGCCTCCTGGGGAAGCGAGATCAACAGTTTAATGATGCGCTGCGTTAAGAATATATCCTTTTGTCTGCCTTGAATCTTCCAACATTCATTTTCATTCTATGTCCCCGAATCCTTGTGTTAGGAGAGAGAGAGAAAAGAACAGCTTTCCTGTATCCTATTTCTCCACCCTGTGCATAATTTTATAAGCTTCTATCATGTCAGCTATCACTTGCCTTTTCTCTAAACTGAAAAGACCCATATGCTACAACCTTTCCACACAGGAGAGTCGCTTTATCCCCTTGATCATTTCAGTCGATTTTTTCCCTGAACCTTTTCCAACTCTGCCGTGTCCATTTTGAGGCAAGGCAACCAGAACAGCACACAGTATTCCAAATGCACTTGCACCATACGATACGATAATCTTTACTGTCATTGTCCCATACAGAAGAACGAAATTGAAAATCTACATCAGATATTCAGAAACCAACAAGCCTGCTATCCCAGCTATCCCAGCCTGGTTAGCCCCTAAAAACTCTGATACCCCATAATTAAATACAATGTACTCCACAGAGACTACCTTACACTGCATTTAAAACCATAGATCTGTATAATGGCATTACGATATCAGCAATAAATATTTTTCACAAATTGCTAGGGCAAGCCTTGTTCTGTAGCTTGGTGCCTTCCAGATGTTCTGGACTATCACTTTCACTAACCCAGCCAGCAAACATCTGGAGGGCAAAAGGTTGGGAAAGGCACTGCTAAGAAATCGAGGAAGGCCACAGGCAACCTCCAATTATCAAAGAACCAAGGAGTGGATCCACTTCAACAGTGGAACGGACTCCCTTGGAGGCCTTTAAGCAGAGGTTGGGTGGCCATCTGTTATGGATGCATTAGTTGAGATTCCTGCACTGCAGGGGGTTGGACTAGATGGCCACTGGGGTCCCTTCCAACTCTACAATTCTATGAAAGCTGAGACAGGATATTCCACCAGCATGGAGAAGAAGCGCAGATAAACCAGTCGAACACAATGATTGATTGTATTCAAGTTTCTTATTTCTGGACCTAACAAGGCTGGGGTGGAGGGAGGCGAAGCAGCTTGGAAGCACGCAGAAAATGTCAACTCTCCAAGCCCAGTCAAGCATGGTGGGAGCAACGAAAACACATCCTACCATTGCCTCTGTCCTAGTTTCAGGGTAACCAGGGTCTCAGATGCACATTTCAGCTTTACACGTGTGCTTGCGGGTGGTAGAAAACATTTCGTGACCTCTACGGCCCGTTTGGTTTCATAAATGCCTGCTGATCGCAACCTGGTTCCAACACGCGGCTTACTGGCTGCGGAAAAGGGTAGAGAGAGACCAGGAGAAATTTTCCTGCCGTGTCCCATCAACACAAGGATATACTTCTGTTTCCTTCTTTCTTTTTTGGCCATGGGTATAGTGCTAGATGCGTTAAAGTTACAATACAATACAATACAATACAATACAAGGTCTCACAGCAAGATGATCTTTAGGCTTTTGTCCTCAAAGATCTTTATTAAAACATTTTATATACTAAAAAAAAAAACACAAGGATATACACCTGCACAACAGGCCTTTCCTTCCCCCCCCCCAATCTGCTCCGAAGGGTTAGGAGAACCCCTAGGACAGGTTCAGAGGGGGAGAATTTTCCATTGCGCAGGCTGAAATCCTCATGCTGACCTAATGATCTCCTTAGCACCAGACTGGATTTTGCCAAGGGTGCCCAAGTAACCAGTAATTGGTTCCATCAGTTTCCTGCTTCTGCCTTTCCCCAACCCCATTTTCAGCCTTGCCCAGGTTCGGTAGCTCCTTTGGTTTTCTCCTCCCCCTAGAAACCAAATGATGGCTTAATCCAGGCTGCAAAAGGATGGAGGCGCCTTTCTGCAATATTATCCTCCCTGCAAGGTCTCAAGGTTATCCTCCCTGTTATGGCCCCAGCGAACAGTGGTGTTTTTGTGTGTGTGTGCTTTTTCTTTTAATGGCTGAGCCATGAGGGAAGTCCAAAGCATCTCTCACTCCTGGCATCCTGCATTTCCAGGTTAATCAGCCGGCATCGTATGGGATGCTCAGTGGCAGATGGAAACGAGGGCTGGCAGCTCTCGTTATCCGGCGCTGACTAACTGAGATGGCAAAAGCCTTGGGAGGAAAGAGACTAATCAGAGGCTGGATCTGGGAGCTCGGGGAGGAGAAAGGAGGGGGCTGCAAGGCCGGGCTCTCGAAATAGCTACCCGCAGTACGAGGGGGCGGGGAAGGAGGGCACAAGCACAGGCCACACAGAATTGTCCCATTAAGCCATGCGGCAAACCAACCTACTCCCCGGGGGATATTGCTTATCCTGTGTCAAAAGTGTCTTGCTGGATCACACCAAAGATCTACCTCGAGGCTGGCTCACCTGCAGCCCTCCAGACTTATTTATCTATTCATTTGATTTATATACAGTGGTACCTCTGGTTGCGAAGGGGATCCGTTCCGGAGGCCCGTTCGCAACCTGAAAGGAACACAACCCGCTTCTGCGCAAGTCGCGATTTGCCACTTCTGCACATGCGCGTGACGTCGTTTTGCACGTCTGCGCATGCGCGAGCGGCAAAACCCAGAAGTAACCCTTTCCGGTACTTCTGGGTCGCTGCGGGATGCAACCTGAAGCAAACGTAACCTGATGTATGCCTGTACTTCCCTTCATCGCAAGATTTCAGGGAGGTTCACAATACAAGGTAAAAACACAAGTAAACATTTACAACAAGGAAACAATAATGCCCGTTCCACCCCCCAAAAAAAAAACATGTAAAAGGCTGTAGAATATTAATCATCCAAAGGCCTGGTTAAAGAGGAATGTTTTTGCCTGGTACTGAAAGATATGTAAGGAAGGCACCAGGCGAGCCTCCCTGGGGAGAGAATCCCACAAACAGGGAGCCACCGCAGAAAAGGCCCTGTTCTCGTGCTGCCACCCTTGTGTGGAGGAGGCACACGGAGAAGGGCCTCAGATGATGAATGCAGAGTCCAGAACGGTTTATATGAGGAGAGGAGAGCCCTTGAGGTTGCTGGGCTCCCATTATCCCTGACGATTTGCCTAGGATGGTGGGAGTTGGAGTCCAAGGGCATCCAGAGTGCCACAGATTAGCCACCTGTGCTCCCAACCAAATGCCCCGCTGGGAAAGCCCACAAGCAGGGCACCACAGGCTTTTCCCTGCGGTTTGTCCTCAGCTTCTGGTACGGGGAGGTAAACTGTCTCTGAACATGGAGGATTAAGTTAGCTGCCATGGCTAAGAACTAGCCGCCAGGGCAGAGAGGACTTTTAATACATGCACATATGGAAATCGGAGACCAAGCTGATACCGAAAGATCTGTAAGGAAGGCACCAAGCGAGCCTCCCTGGGGAGAGAATCCCACAAACAGGGAGCCACTGCAGAAAAGGCCCCGTTCTCGTGCTGCCCCCCTTGTGTGGAGGAGGCACACGGAGAAGGGCCTCATGAAACTGGCAGCCGTCACGCACCACAAAAGAAGGCCTAGGAAATCAAGAACAGCCCTGCAGGATCATACCAAAGGCTCATCTAGTCTAGCATCCTGTTCTTTCAGAGGGGTGTACAAACAACAGCAGCGAATGGGAAAGAGGGAGAGGGTCGGCAAGCCTGCTAGAAAAATCCCTGTTCCTCAGTAGGTAAACAGAACAGGTAGGAGGTGAGCTTGGACTCCAGGGGAAGGATGCTCTACCCATAGCTATGGAAGGGCACTGCCATGTGCTGCAGCCTTCCTGGGTGCCAGGAGACCCACCTCCCAAGCTGCACCCACAAGCGGTCTCATTTAGCTCTCAGGTGTGAAACAGCTCCGTAACAGTGGCAGGACATTTACAAGAGGGTTAACTGGCAAGTGGTGGGACGTGGGTGGCTCTGTGGCTTAAACCACAGAGCCTAAGACTTGGCGATCAGAAGATCAGCGGTTCGAATCCCCGTGACGGGGTGAGCTCCCGTTGCTCGGTCCCTGCTCCTGCCAACCTAGCAGTTCGAAAGCACATCAAAGTGCAAGTAGATTAATAGGTACCGCTCCGGCGGGAAGGTAAACGGTGTTTCCGTGCGCTGCTCTGGTTCGCCAGAAGTGGCTTAGTCATGACCCGGAAGCTCCCTCGGCCAATAAAGCGAGATGAGCGCCGCCACCCCCAGAGTTGGCCATGACTGGACCTAATGGTCAGGGGTCCCTTAACCTTTTTAACTGGCAAGCAGTTTCTGGCAAGACTCTGGAGACCTCAGAGATACTGTACCCTACAGAGTTACTGCAACCCCAAGAACTGAGCATCAGACATCTCTGTGCTTTACTCCACTTCCATCTTCGCCGCAAGATGGCCTGGGGCAAGTGAGCCTTCCTCGCAAGTCCTGCTTCCAGGGCTTCCCCTCCTGCCTCACAGGATTTCTCAAAGCCAATGCGATGAGGAAATTAGCCTGCATCTCAAATGTTAGGGTACAGAGCCAGTCGGGAATCTTAATTACCGTATTTTTCGCTCTATAAGACGCACAAGACGCACCTAGTTTTTGGAGGAGGAAAACAAGAAAAAAATATTCTGAATCTCAGAAGCCAGAACAGCAAGAGGGATCACTGTGCAGCGAAAGCAGCAATCCCTCTTCCTGTTCTGGCTTCTGGGATAGCTGCGCAGCCTGCATTCACTCCATAAGACGCACACACATTTCCCCTTACTTTTTAGGAGGGAAAAAGTGAGCCTTATAGAGCAAAAAATACGGTAATGAAACCTGATTAAGTTTGCAGGGAAGAAGGTTCTGTGTTTCTCCACCCCACCACTGCCAGGCTGGAGGGGCCATGGAACCAGGCAGACAACCTCAGCGCAGGCGAAATGAAAGCACTCGCCGCTCTCCAAACGAAACTGCATTAATTCCCTCTGAGCCACTGTATATTCAGATTTGATAAAACACCGCGGCACCCGGAGTTAATCTCTCCCGCGCCACATTTGAGGCTCCGTCAGAAACGGCAGCGCTTGTCATTTGTCACCGGAAGAAACAAACAGATAAACTGCGCCACTTTGGAAACGGGTGGAAATCTGCCAATTACGACACCGGGCCTAGCTGCCCTGGGACACTGATATCTGGGATGCAGCCGATAATCCTAGACTGAATCCTAGATATCCCTCAAATATCTGACACAGCAGCAAGCAGCCGGATAGGTTTACTGATCAGGATTACTTATCTGCAGAGCTGGGACGACTTCCTGGTTCTCAAGGCAGGATATAAATTATGAAACTTGGGTGTGGGGGGAAGAACAGGCCTCCAAATCACAGCAACTCCCTCCCTAACCTACTTCCAACAGAACTTTCTGGCCCTTTGGATACTTTTTTTTATGTAACTATGTAAGGAAAGGGCATCCTATTGATGTCACAAGATTTTGCAAAAATTAAAATCCAAGATTTTTAAAGTGGGCTAGGTTTGAGCTGTATAAGACGATTAAGCGCCCTGCTGATGAGAGGCAGGAGTGTCAGGAAAAGGTGTTGAAGCAAATGCTGTTATATATGCCACAGGGATTTTTATTTTTATTTTTGGATGGGGGGGGTACAAAGATTTTACTGCATTTGGCCAAAGTCTGCACTCGCTCCCTAATTCAAAATGCCTGCATCCCAAGAAGAATTGCTGCGATCAGCCAGAAAACAGCCCCATTTCTCCTTTCCGCAGAACACCTGGCAGAAGCTAATATTTCTCTCCCTCCCTCAAGCTTTTATTAATGGCTCTGGGTTGGCTGGAATGCTATTAGGCTGAACACCAGTGGCAGCCACAAACCCAGTTGGCAGATGCATCCAGCAAAGACAACTGATTTAATGTGCCACAGAGAAGCTATTCCTTCCTTAACCCGTTTCTGCCTGGCGCCTATGACTTCCATAGTCTGCTTAATTGCAGTTTTTGTCCACATTCACCATCCTTATTATGCCAGAAGCAGATTAGCAAGAGGAACCACCTCGGCCAGAGACTCCACTTAAGTTAATGGCATCTGAGACGTATGACCTATAGATTTTTGTTTAAACTGAGCTGGGGAAAAGATTACAGTGGTACCTCGGGTTAAGTACTTAACCGTTCTTAACCTGAAACTGTTCTTAACCTGAAGCACACTTTAGCTAATGGGGCCTCCTGCTGCTGCTGTGCTGCCGGAGCACGATTTCTGTTCTCATCCTGAAGTAAAGTTCTTAACCCAAGATAATATTTCTGGGTTAGCGGTGTCTGTAACCTGAAGCGTATGTAACCCAAGGTACCACTGTACTTGTAATTATACGGTAGAATGTGCAACATCATAATATTTATTTGCTTTTGCTCACATAAAATACCATCATCTGTGATCAGGAATCAGCAACCAGCAATCCTGGGCTAGATCTGACCACCGTCCTGCTCATTATTCACTCTCAGTCTTCCTCCAATCCATCCATAAAATGGGTAGATGGATGCGACGGGTGGAGCGGAAGAGGAACAGGGGAGCATGCAAGCAAGCTGAACGGCTCTCGACAACTCCCACCCCACCCATTTTCAAAAAGGGCTTCCAAAGAAGAGAAGGGTGGATTCCCCCCCCCCCATTCCTAAATCATCTCTTTCTTCCTTGGATACAGCAGTTTGGGAGAAAGAGGGAGCTGCGTCTGCCACCACCAACCCGCTTTCAAGTTGGATGCTTGCAAAATTAGTTGCTGACCAGGATGTTGACATTACAGAATTTTGCATGAATATGGCTGCAGGTCAGTGGGGAGGAATCTGTGGAGGCTAAGGAACCTTTGGCCCCAGAATTGTTAATTGGCCCACCCCTGCCCTTCGTAGAGAAATGAGCTTCCTAAGAACTGAGCTGCATAGCCTAAAACAGCTGTGTTTCAATAATACTTTTTTTTTAAGTGCTTCTGCCACCTGCTGGCCTTAACATCTGCATGTTTACTTTTATTTCCCTCACCAGCACGAACCCTTGCAAGCTGCCTTTGCCAACCTGACGCCCTCCAGATGTTGTTGGACATCTGGTGAAGGGCTTTCGGACGTCGGGGAAGAGCAAGGTTCCTCCACAAGAGGAAAAATGCTTCTAAGGAGCAGCACAGGACTTAAACCACTTCACGCTTCCTCCAACGTTTGAGTGGCTGAAAGAATCAGGACTGTCCCTGCCACTGCCTTAAAATCCTTCCCCTCAGGCAGGCCAGAGGTTGGATCCTGCCCTAAGCCTCATTCACCGTTTCGCTGGCCAGAATGCTACACACCAGAAGACGACATTTTCCCAAAACCGATGAGGAGGTCTTGCGCAGGGAAAGGCCCCAGGGGAACCCATATTTTATAGACACAGGACTAAGGAGAAGGTGGGGAGTCCATCAAAGATCACATTGTGGTGCAGTTGGCAATCATCTCTGGCTGTTGGCAGGGCTGGTGGGAGTTGGGAGTCCAACGTTCGGAGGCCCACAGGTCCCCCAGCCCTCACAGAAGGGAATAGTCTCAGAAAGAGTAATTGCAAGTTCAAGGAAACCTTGGCCTGGTTTGACTCAGAGGTGCAATATTGGCACGTCTCTGCTGAAGGGCAACTGCCCTGGAATCGTGGCTTCAGGACTTTCTTCCCCAGGAACCGCTTCTCTACCCCCACGATTGAAAAACAATCCAGCATCTGAGCCCATCTGTATCTCAGACGCTTTAGCAATAAAGACTTCCTGATCGCTTGCAGCAATTTGCACTCATTACCTCCGTAACTGCTAGAACAATCTGACAAGGTGCCCCGGTACGAAGTCTATCTTTAATTGCCGTCAGATGGGAGCCTGAGCAGAGGTGTGTGTGTGTGTGTGTGTGTGTGTGTGTGTGCATGCATGTGTGCGCGTGTGCTTGCCCTTGATGGTTCCAGCAAACTCTCCCCTGCAGCAATGCACCAGAGCCCCATGTTCCTTACCATGGCTTTATTACTTATGATTAGACTTGTTAGCCAAAGGTTTCCAAGTGTTTTGTGGCCATTTAAAAACATGCAGTAGCCACACAAACCAAACAGTGCCACCTCGGAGTGGGAAGGCAAGTCTATACAGTGGTACCTTGGGTTAAGAACTTAATTCGTTCCGGAGGTCTGTTCTTAGCCTAAAACTGTTCTTAACCTGAAGCACCACTTTAGCTTATGGGGCCTCCCACTGCTGCCACACAATTTCTGTTCTCATCCTGAAGCAAAGTTCTTAATCCAAAGTACTATTTCTGGATTAGCGGAGTCTGTAACCTGAAGTGTATGTAACCCGAGGTACCACTGTATTTTTAGGAACCACCTTATTTCGGTAATTTTCGGTTGCTTCAAACCGTTTTCAATGTTGTATTTTAAATTACTATTGTTAGGGTCATTTACTATTATTATATCACCCGTCTATGGCCTCTAAGTGTGTTGCAACACAATATTAATATCCTGCACAGTATTACACAACATTAAAAACAGTTGAAAGTGACTTGCCATCATGGATATATGGTGGGTCCTGAAAACATGTGTCTTCCGTGTTAAAGGCCAGAGCTAAGAGGCAGGTCTTCAGCATTATAAAAATTAATTAAAATCAGATTGATGGCAACCGTTAAGCAAAATTCTGTGCAGATTGCCAGAGGAGGGAGTCAGGCTGCGCCCTGACCAAAGGCCTGGTGGAACAGCTCTGTCTTGCAGGCCCTGCGGAAAGATGTCAGGTCCCGCAGGGCCCTGGTCTCTTGTGACAGAGTGTTCCACCAGATTGGAGCCCCACAAATAACCCAGAGATGCATTTTAAATAAAAGGACACATTCTACTCATGTAACAACACACTGATTCCCGGACCGTCCACAGGCCGGATTTAGAAGGTGATTTGGCCGGATCCGGCCCCTGGGCCTTAGTTTGCCTACCCATGGTTGATCTCATCACCTAAGAGGGAAGGAGGTGGCTTTTCAGCTATTTGGAGCCTGAGTCATTTACAGCTTTAAACACTAATATAAGCACCTTGAACTGGGTCTCGAAATGAACCGGCAACTGGTACAGATGTTTTAAAACTGGGGTTGCATGAGATCTCAAGGGAATCCCAGCCAGCAATCTAGCTGTTATCACTGTCCTTGGGACCTCAGGGTGAAGGGCAGGTAATAATAATAGTAGTAGTAATAATAATAATAATAATAATACACAGAAAGGATACAGAGCCGGCATCTGTGACTACCTGAAGCACAACCGTAATAGAGGAACGGGGATGGAGGGTTCCCAGGACCACTGCCTCGCACGTCTTCTTGATCATCTGCTCTCGGCTTCTCTCATAGACACCTGGGTGGGAGGAAAGCAAAGAGCGCTGCAGGTGAGCCCCAGCGAAACACGAGGCTCAAAGCAATCATCTTCTGAAAGGTCACACTGCCGAGGCTCAAGCGCTGGGGCTGCCTTGTCAGATCAGACCAATATTCATCCAATTCCCTAAAAGCAGCTCGCTGGATGTTTCTAGGCAACGCCGAAGCAGGGTATGGAAAATGATGGCCTTTTACCTTGATGTGTGACCTCGGCGGCAGACTGCCACTGCATATGGAGGTTCTAGTTATCCATGATGCACCATTTTTGAGGGAAGCCGGAAAATTCTCCAGCATCCATGGGGCTAGGAATCCAAACCCCAATGTTCTACTGTGCCTTAGGGTTTATATTGGCCCTGAGCAACAGGGAGTCTTAAGTGGGGTTTATACATTCAGCAGAACGCAGTAGGAAAGCTTTTCCTTCAGCTGGCAGGTGCTGGTGACCTGCCTAAATGCTCTACAACAAAAGAATGGCGCTCAGATAGATTACTGCCTCCAACTATGGAACCAGAGCGCAGTCATTATGGCTGGCAGTCACTGACAAGAGTTATCTCCCATGTCCAATCCTCTCCCCCAAACCACTTTTAAATATCCACATTGGTGGCTCCTGTGGGAGTGAGTTCCATAGTTTCAACTAGGCACTGTGTGAAGCAGCCCTGCAAATGTTGAGACATGCATTCCGTCACCTGAAATGGTTAAATCCAGGAAATTCCACCCCACACACCCCACCCCAGGTCCTACAGTACGACACAAATCACTTGAAGAAACAGCCGCCCACATCACAAATTCTATTAGTGGCTACTGTCTTGATCCCAGAGGGCAGGTACATACGCATATAAAATTCTATTTTTTATTGGATGCTTTGTTGTTGAGTCGTTTAGTCGTGTCCAACCCTTCGTGACCCCATGGACCAGAGCACGCCAGGCACTCCTGTCTTCCACTGCCTCCCGCAGTTTGGTCAAACTCATGCTGGTAGCTTTGAAAACACTGTCCAACCATCTCGTCCTCTGTCGTCCCCTTCTCCTTGTGCCCTCCATCTTTCCCAGCATCAGGGTCTTTTCTAGGGAGTCTTCTCTTCTCATGAGGTGGCCAAAGTATTGGAGCCGCAGCTTCACAATATGTCCTTCCAGTGAGCACTCAGGGCTGATTTCCTTCAGAATGGAGAGGTTTGGTCTTCTTGCAGTCCATGGGACTCTCAAGAGTCTCCTCCAGCACCATAATTCAAAGCATCGATTGTTCGGTGATCAGCCTTCTTTATGGTCCAGCTCTCACTTCCATACATCACTACTGGGAAAACCATAGCTTGAACTATATGGACCTTTGTTGGCAAGGTGGATAGTTTCAGGTAAAGTCAGGAGCACGGGAAGGACCCCAGCTCATTGGCAGAGTATCTGCTTTGCATGCAGAACGTTCCCAGTTCAATCCCCAGGTAGTTTCTGGGAGAGGCTGTCTGTCTGAAATCCTGGAGAGAGCAGATGTCAGTCAGTGTGTAGATAACACTGAGCTAGATGGACCTAGTGGTGTGACTTTGTATAAGGTAGCTTCTTATGTTCCTATGCAGGTTTTCAGGTTCCACAGAACCTTTAATGCCCAACAAAGATTTCTGTGAAACTCAAAATCTTGCACATCAGAAGCTACTCTCCTTAAGTACACAGGACCTCAAGGCACGCACATGTCCAGACACACTTCTCTTCCTCTTTTGCCATTAATACCGTCAAGTCTGCAAATAGGATCAGCAGGATTTGATTTTTTTTAAAGCTCTTCTGTTTCCACAGAAAAGGAAACAAATTCTTTTGTTTCTTAATTTAATTATTCACAGCAAAACCAGCCCCCTCTGGAGGTTTCACATGCACTGAAAGTCTCAGCGGGTGGGGGAAAAAAGGAAGGGAGAATTTTTTTTTTCCTCTGATGCCAGCAATTTTCTTTTGTGAGCTCCCTGTGGAGGGAACAAGATATCCAGATGGTATCACTGCAGGATACCAGATGGCCCAGTTGGTTATGAAGATAACAGCTCATCTCACCTTTTGATTATGCTAGTTTCTGGGGGTGGGGGAAGGAGATGAATGGTGAGCACACATGCTAAATTTAAATTAGAACAACACGGGGACGAGTTTTGAGTTTTCGCTTGCTAACACTGCCATGCCATGCAGAGACATTTTGGAAATGGATGAAAAGATTTAACAAAGGTGACACACACCGAGCGTCCCACTCAGGAGACATGCGGAGCAGTTTTAACTCAATGACATCACACTAAAGCATAGTTTATTGTGACAAGAACAAGTCATTCCCCCAAGCATTCCCCAAACCCTTCCGGCATGGCCACAAGGAGAAAACTTTCACTTCCATTTTGATTACCCACCCATGGTCTGAACCAACAAGCTATCATTGATGCAGATGATGAGTTGAGTTTGAACCATGCCATCTTCAAAGCAGGTGTTATGAAGCTAGCCTAGCTTCTTTAAACAAGCCATAGTGGACATTTAACCACAGTAGTGATGTATGGAATTCCCTGGAAAAGACCCTGATGTTGGGAAAGATGGAGGGCCCAAGGAGAAGGGGACGACAGAGGACGAAATGATTGGACAGTGTTCTTGAAGCTACCAGCATGAGTTTGACCAAACTGCGGGAGGCAGTGGAAGACAGAAGTGCCTGGCGTGCTCTGGTCCAGGGGGTCACGAAGAGTCGGACACAACTAAACGACTAAACAACAACAAGTGATGTATGGAAGTGAGAGCTGGACCATAAAGAAGGCTCCAATACTTTGGCTACCTCATGAGAAGACTCCCTGGAAAAGACCCTGATGTTGGGAAAGATGGAGGGTACAAGGAGAAGGGGACAACAGAGGACGAGATGGTTGGACAGTGTTCTTGAAGCTACGAACATGAGTCTGACCAAACTGCGGCAGGCAGTGGAAGACAGGAGTGCCTGGCGTGCTCTGGTCCATGGGGTCATGAAGAGTCGGACACGACTAAACGACTAAACAACAACGAACCACAGTTTAGGGTTTAGGTGACACACTAAATTGTAATCAATTGAAATAAGAAGTTTCTAATCTCTTCCTTGCGGTCACACCAGAGGAGAGGGGAGGAGGGATTGTATGACCCTCCCAAGGCTCACTGTAGCTTGTTGAATACAGAAGGTAAACACTTTCATCTTCTGTTGAAGGATCTCAGCAGCAGAGATGGAAAATAAAACGCCTATGAATGTCTTACTGGGTTAGAAATACAGCTAACTGTACCTTGCACCCAGACACTGCGAGTCATTGGTTGTGTCCACCCCTTTGGACACTGGTTCCCAGTACCAACCCAGTAACAAGTGATTACTTTTATAATTTTATAATGAATGATTTTAGAATGTTGTTTATGCTGTACTTTTGTACTGTTTTATTGTTGTTAGCCGCCCTGAGCCCGGCTTCGGCTGGGGAGGGCGGGATATAAATAAAATTTATTATTATTATTATTATTATTATTATTATTATTATTATTATTATTTGAATTCCCGTCCCATCCCACCTTCGTCCTCAGATCCAGGATGGTTTACACAATGGGAGATTTAGGTCAGGCATAGGCAAACTCCGCCCCCCCAGATGTTTGGAACTACAATTCCCATCATCCCTGACCACTGGTCCTGTTAGCTACAGATGATGGGAACTGTAGTCTCAAACATCTGGACGGCCGGAGTTTGTCTATGCCTGATTTAGGTGAACAGGGATGGGATGCGGGGCATCATAGGGCTGTGCAAACTAGCTCCGCCTGCTGGCCACAAACCCCACCAGCTATGCATTTCACAAATGAATTAGTTCAGCATGCATACCAATACACAAATGTGCAGCACCTTCGTAGATTGGCTGAGGACCTCCCCTAGCATGGAGTTAGTATAAACATGGGGGTCTCTCCACACCCTCGTTGAACTTGCAATTAGTGCAAGGGAAGAACTACCCTGCCTGTCAATATTATGGTGTTGTTGTTGTTTAGTCGTGTCCGACTCTTCGTGACCCCCTGGACCAGAGCACGCCAGGCACTCCTGTCTTCCACTGCCTCCTGCAGTTTGGTCAAACTCATGTTCGTAGCTTCGAGAACACTGTCCCAACATCTCATCCTTTGTCATCCCCTTCGCCTTGTGCCCTCCATCTTTCTCAGCATCAGGGTCTTTTCCAGGGAGTCTTCTCTTCCCATGAGGTGGCCAAAGTATTGGAGCCTCAGCTTCAGGATGTGTCCTTCCAGTGAGCACTCAGGACTGATTTCCTTCAGAATGGAGAGGTTTGATCTTCTTGCAATCCATGGGACTCTCAAGAGTCTCCTCCAGCACCAGAATTCAAAAGCATCAATTCTTCGGCGATCAGCCTTCTTTATGGTCCAGCATTCACTTCCATACATCACTACTGGGAAAACCATAGCTTTTACTATACGGACCTTTGTTGGCAAGGTGATGTCTCTGCTTTTTAAGATGCTGTCTAGGTTTGTCATTGCTTTTCTCCCAAGAAGCAGGCATCACAAATGCTTCACTCGACCCCTCCTTTTGTCTTTTTAACTACCTCCACGAAAGAAATTCCCAAATCGCAGCATGCAAATACAGTATTAGAACGCGACACCTATTCATTTAAATGAACACCCACATTAGCGAGTAGGCTTGCATGGCCCAACTTTGCCCCGACTATACAAATTCTAGGGGCAAGCACCTGGGTCAAAGCAACTCCCCAAAGGGGATATATGAGTCAGTTTGCAATACTTCTTACCTGGTAGACCCACTTTGGGCCTCAGAAGCACTTCCAGGGTAGCTTTATCATAGATCTCTTTGCTGACCTTGACTTCAGTTGGCCCGTACACTCCAACCAGTACTGAAGTGTCCCCTGGAAAAAAAACAGGGGAAGGGGGGCATGAACAATTTGGCCTAATTTGGTGATGAAACAGTCACCATCCAGATCCCCCCTCCCCTAACTGCTACCATAGAAGCGAGGGTCCCCTTGAAGGGAGGAGAGAAGAAAGAAGTCTGAGGAACAGTTCACCATCCAGCTGCCCTGAGGGGTGGGAAAAGAAGCAGTCACAGCTTTTTTCTAAACCAAACAAGTTGCCTTTTCCATTCTGTTTATTTATTTTTTCCAGCACAAGGTGGTTCATTAGGGCAAATGAGGCCCTGCCCCAGCAACTGCAGTCTGCCCTTAACCATAGCTGTCAACTTTTCCCTTTTCTTGCAAGGAATCCTATTCGGAATAAGGTAATTTCCCTTTAAAAAAAGGGGAACGCTGACAGCTATGCCCTTACCCAGCCCCCTCCAGCCTGCTTTCTTATTTACAGGCAGTTCTGGCCGTAGCACTGCCTCCCAGTTTCATAGAAGGGACCCCAGAGGGTCATCTAGCCCAACCCCCTGCAATGCAGGAATCTCAACTAGTAAGCACCCATGACAGATCCAACCTCTGCTTAAATTCCTCCAAGAAAGGAGAGTCCACCACCTCCTAAGGGAGTCTGCTCCACTATCAAACTGCTCTTACTGTCAGAAAGTTCTTAATGATTTAGTCAGGATCTTCCTTCTTGTAACTTGAATCCATTTGGTTTGGGTCCTACCGTCCAGAGCAGGGGTCAGCAAACTTTTTCAGCAGGGTGCCGATCCACTGTCGCTCAGATCTTGTGGGGGGCCGGACTATTGGGGGGGGATGAACGAATTCCTATGCCCCACAAATAACCCAGAGATGCATTTTAAATAAAAGGACACATTCTACGCTGATTCCCGGACCATCCATGGGCCGGATTTAGAAGGCGATTGGGCCGGATCCGGCCCCTGGGCCTTAGTTTGCCTACCCATGGTCCAGAGAAAGAGAAAGCAAGCTTGCACCATCTTCCAAGTGACAGGCCTTCACATATTTGAAAATGGCTAATCTCCTCTCAGTCTCCTCTTTTCCAGGCTAATTACAGAACTCAGTTAAGGACGTGGACGGGGGCCAAACTAGCTTGAGTTGCCTGTGCTTGTCATTGGCTCTGGCACCGCCTAACTGCTGGGTTCTCTGCCTTCCACCCTATCCTTCTCAATGGGCACCAGCTACCACATACAGATGCCCATGGGAATCCCACAAGCAAGACGTGGGAGTAACAGCGCTCTCCTGCTTGTGATCCCTGGAAAGTTGCATACAGAGGCACAAGGCCAACATGACTAGCTGCCAGCGATACCCTAAAGGTAAAGGGACCTCTGACCATTAGGTCCAGTCATGGCCAACTCTGGGGTTGCGGCACTCATCTCGCTTTACTGGCCGAGGGAGCCGGCGTACAGCTTCTGGGTCATGTGGCCAGCATGACTAAGCCGCTTCTGGCGAACCAGAGCAGGGCACGGAAACGCCGTTTACCTTCCCGCCGGAGCGGTACCTATTTATCTACTTGCACTTTGACGTGCTTTCGAACTACTAGGTTGGCAGGAGCAGGGACCGAGCAAATGGGAGCTCACCCCATCACAGGGATTCGAACCACCGACCTTCTGATCGGCAAGCCCTAGGCTCTGTGGTTTAACCCACAGTGCCACCCACGTCCCAACAATACCCTATCCATCCTGAATGTGCCTAATTCCCTTTTTAAACCATACAAGTTGGTGGTCTACCACCAAACCATGGGGTAGCAAACTCTATAATTTAACCATAACCTACCAGGGTTAACTTGCGGGGAGAGCGGGGGTTCCCCTCACTCAATTTAAATCATCATTGAGTATGGAGCAAGCTTCTTTTCTCCTGCTATGGAGGGTAGGACCCGAACCAACGGATTTAAGTTACAATAAAGGCGATTCTGACTAAGTATCAGGAAAAACTTTCTGACAGTAGGGGTTGTTGCTCAGTAGAATGGACTCCCTTGGGAGGTTCTGGATTCTATTTCACTGGAGTAGAGGAGTTGGGTGGCCATCTGTCATGGATGTTTTAGCTGAGATTCCTGCATTGCAGGGGTTTGGATTAGATTTCACCCTTGGGACCCCTTCCAACTTTGCAGTTCTATGATCTAAAAGCTCTGTTTTGGAGCGGGGTTAGGAAAGCAAAGGGTATTAAGTATTAAGTATCTGGTACTCGGGCTAAGAAAGGAGCCGGGGAGATATGAGCCTAAAGACCAGACACCCATCCCAAACAGAGCTCCAGACTGGAAGTAGGAGCAACAGGGCGATATCGAGGGAAGAAAGACCCCGAGCCAAAGAGAACATTAAAAGCCTCTCAGGTCCTTGGAAGGGAAGACCTGATAAACGCCCGTCTGGACTCCACACCTACGGAGTATCAACAGCGCTAGTTAAGAGGATATAACCCAGAGATGGAGGAGCAGGAAGGTGGGATAGGGGAAAGGAAGCCACGGCTGACCCTGCATCCAGGAGGCAGAGCCATCAGGACGGGACAGCAGTCCCTGCTCACACAGGATCCGGCGCAGCGCAGGGAGATCCCCAGAATCGAAGCGCTTCTGTTCGGTCTCCATCGCTCCGATCCACCCACGTGGTTTCCCCCTTGATGCTTCCGGATCCGGGGTTTGACGGGGCGGAGCTACGGGTGCCGACACCTCCTCTTAAAGCAACACCCACACCTAACCTTCTTAAGTCTTTCCGCTCTGAAGTTTTAAACAGAGGGGGGGGGTTGTCAACACGATACCCTGGTTCACTTTTGAACCCCCTCCTCCAATGTGGCTCTTTGCACGCCGTGCCTGTCAAGCACATTCAAAAAAGCACAGCCTTTCCCGCAAAGAATTCTGGGTGCTGCAGTTTGCTAAGGGATGCTGGGAACAGGAGCTGTGTGAGGAGTGAACTACAAGGCCCAGAATCCTTTGAGGGAAAGGATGTGCTTCAAATCTGCTTTAAGAGTTCACACACACAAACACAGAGAGAGCTTTTCAATTAGAAAAAATGGTTCAGGAAGGGGGAAACTTGGGGTGTCCCCTAGGAATCAGAGTGTGGGGGTCATAATTAAGGGGAGGGGGTTGATTTCCCAGCATTCCCCCCTACGTCCTTACAAATTGCTACCTCACAGGGTTGTTGTAATCAAATAAATGAAATAAACAATTCAGCAACGAATTAACATTTTGTTCCGCTTTAACTATACCAAACGTGACTGACAAACCGTAGCCTAAGTTTGGTTCATTTGTGCTGATTGTCCTTTTGTGGAAAAACCTATATTTTATTTTTTAATGTCCCTTGGAGACGGGGAAGCGATTCATAAACAGAACCAAATAAAATTTTAAAATAAAAATAAAAAAATTGGGGAGAAGGCTAGGATAAAACGGGGGTCTTGCTTCCACATCCAGACACCGAGTCACTTGGGGCCGGCGACTTATTCCCCTCTCTCCCTCATCTACCTCACATGGTCGCTGTGCGAGGTAGAAGAGACAGAGCAGGGTCCCAGAGGGAGGGAGAAGAAATCCAGAGGAGGGGAGAAGGTCTCATCCCTCGGGATGGTTAGGACGATGATTAATAATAAAAATAATATTTTTTTTTATTTATATCCTGCCCTTCCCGGTTCAGAAAACCGGGCTCAGGGCGGCCAACAACAAATTTAAAACACTTAATTGATGCAACAAAAAAATCAGCATAAAATACAGTGTAAAACGTGAATAACAATAAATTCAGAATCCAAAAATCAATTTAGGGGGGAAATCCATCCCATAAACATTAGATGATTACTCATTACATTCATAACACTTCCCTGTCTGAGGATCAGGGGCTGCTGCGGGGTCCGGATTTTCCCGGACACAGAATAACACCGGCGGGGGGGCGTCCGCTCGTCCGGGAAAACCCGGGCGCGTGGCATCTCCCGCTGGGACACCTCAAAAACGGCATTTTTAAATTTAATTTTGTTTCATTCCATCTTGCCCAGCTCTACAACTTTTCTGTCAGGATACGGTTTGAAATACGTCAACACACACGAAAAATCACGACCCATTCCTGGGCTCTATTCCCAGGGCCCCGTTGTATTTCGGAGCGGGTTCGAGGGAGGAGCGAGGGCGGCGGCGGCGGCGGCGTCTTTCCCGCCTCCCTCGACTGAGGAGGAGGAGGAGGCGAGGCCTAGTGCCCGGCGCCCGCCTCGCGCTCCCCAGCCGCCCAAAATGGCGGCGTCGGCGAGGCTCCCTTGCGCGGGGCTGCGCTCCCTGAGGCGCCTGCTGCTGGGACGCCCCTCGCACCCCGGGCGGCTGCCGGCGAGGGGGCTCCGCGCAGGAGTGAGTCTCCCGAGGCGGCCCCCCCTGCCCCCCTCCCGCAGTCACGGCCCGGATATTGGGGCCCCATTTAAAGGGAGGGTTGGATAGACGCGGGGATTTTTTTCCCCTCAGGGAGAAAGGAGGTCCTTGTGCCCCACTTAGCCGTGGGGGTTTATTTTGCTGGGGGGTGGGGTCTCAAATAGGGGTGGAAGGAGAGGTGGGACCCCCTTCGCTGGGGGTCTAGAGGTAGGGTAATATCTCTCCCCCTACCCTCCAGATCTCTTCCCGCCCCCCTCCCAACCCTAAAAAACCAAAACAAATCACAGAAACCCAAGTTTTTTAGGGTTTGGGAGGCAAAGGCTGGATGGGGGAGGGAGGGAATGTGGAAGTTGCACATCCCCACGTGCTACTTTGCACGTGTATGGGTGCAAACTTTGCGGGGGGGGGGTGAGGAGGAGTGGAGCATTTTATATTGCGGGTCCATCTGTCCTTGTTGAAAATGCTATATCCGTCTTCTCAGAAATGGGTGTCCTGCAGGGATTTTTAACTGGCATATGTTTCCTGAAAATATTCGTTCCTGCTGGTCTATTGGGGGTTGTTGTTATTGTTGTGGATCATGTATGTATTTGTTGTGTTCTTTATGTGAACTGCTTCTGCGTGAGCTCTGCCCAAATAATGACATGGGTCCTTATAATGGTGCACATTGTTAAACTGCGGAACTCACTGCTGCTGCAGGAGGAAGTGACGGCCACTAGCCCAGATGGTTTTTAAATGGATTTGATTTGATTTTTTAAAAACGGTTTTGATAACCCAGGTGGGTTTTAAAAAAAGGATTGGACAGATTTATGGAGGACTGGCTGTATCGATGGCTACTGGCCTTGATGGCTGTGCCAAGGTCAGACACAGTAATCCTTCTGAATACCAGTTGCTGGAAACTGCTTGGACGGGACGTTGGAGAGTTGCTCTTACGCCCGAATCCTGCTTGCGGCTTTGCCACAAGCATGTGGTTGGCCACTGTGGGAAGAGCATGCTGGATCAGATGGGCTGTTGGCCGGATCCAGAAGGGTCTTCATACATTCTTGTGGCTGTTAATTTGGCTCACTCAAATGGGATAGTGGCGGAGGGTGTGTGTATGTGTGTTGAGTTTGAATTTCTACTGAAATGAGGCTGCATTTTAATGTATTTTAATCTTGTTTTTAAGTTGCTTTTTAATCAATTGTTTTTATACCTGGTGTTAGCCGCCCTGAGCCCTGTCTTGGCTGGGGAGGGCAGGGTATAAATAAAAATTATTATTATTATTGTTCAGCAAAATCTGGAAGACCACAGCTTCCCTGCACCTTATGAACTCAAGTGGTCTGTGGCCTTGTGGCCAAACACAAACACATAGACACTCATAATGCTAGCCAAAAGTTAATACAACTGGCTGCTTTGCACTGCTGTTCGCAAGGAGAGGTGGACTCTCCTCCACCAGAGGCTTTTGGATGACCACCTGGCAGGGATGGTTTACTTGAGATTCCTGCTTTGCAGGGGGTTGGACTAGATGGCCATCAGGGTCCCTTTCCAACTCTTAAATTAGGAGTACGCCCCATTGAATTTGGTAGGACTTACTTCCCCGGTGGGATTTAACTCCCAAGTAAACATGTGCAGAACAGATGAGGCTGTGAGAGCGAGTCGATTGCCTTTGCGCCCCGATGAAGGTGGGAGGCTTGTGTTAGAAATGCTGCAAATATCTATTTTCCAAAGCATGCAGCAGGGCACCAGTCTTTTAAAAGGCATCGTCACATGTGGTTGGTGTGTGTGTGTGTGTGTGTGTGTGTGTGTGTGTTTGTGGCAGGTCACCCTGTGTGTTTTCAGGACTTGGAAAACACTTTCTTTCAGAAAGGGAGGGAGAGGATCCGTCTCCCCTGCAACTTTCTCCAGCCTGATTGGGCCGCCTCAAGGGGCGTGTGTTTCTCTTTCTTTTGGGACCGCATCCAGTTTCCCTCACCCTTTCCCCCAGTGTTGATTTACTGATGTCAATTAGCTTTCTTGTCACAGCTTTACAGGTCCCAGATCTGTGGAGATAATTTTCCTTCTCTCCCTGGCAGCAGCCAAGGACGTGGTATTTGTTTAACAAACATGTCCGTCCTGGATTTAAAGGCTTATTCCTCTGTTGTTTTCGACAGCTCATATAGCCTGAATAGGGAACCTGATCTGTCCAGATGTTGTTGAACCATACAGGGGCGGCCTCTAAAGTGTGTAATCCAAGAGACACTTTCTCTGGTTCTTCTACCGAGTAATATGTTACAGGCCTAGATTTGCATAATAATAATAATAATAATAATAATAATAATAATAATAATTTATTTGTACCCCACCCATCTGGCTGGGTTTCCCCAGCCACTCTGGGCAGCTTCCAACAAAGATTAAAAATACATTAAATTTTACGCATTAAAAACTTCCCTGAACAGGGCTGCCTTCTTCTTCTAAATGTCAGGTAGTTGTTCTCTTTGACATCTGGTGGGAGGGTGTTCCACAGGGCGGGCGCCACCACTGAGAAGGCCCTCTGCCTGGTTCCCTGTAGCTTTGCTTCTCGCAATGAGGGAACTGCCAGAAGGCCCTCGGTGCTGGACTTCAGTGTCCAGGCAGAACGGTGGGGGTGGAGACATTTTGCATTTTGTTTTACCAAAAAAACCACAACCCTGTAGAAGCCAGGCCTCCCCCCCCCCACCATTCTGTCACACTCTTTTCACCAAGAAATGAGAGCCAGTGTGGTGGGGGGAGGGGGTAGAGCAGCAGTCGGCAACCTAGCTGTAGCAGCCCATGAGGCTTGCCTAACTGGCCCATAGCGCCCCCTGCTGCCACCCCCGCTGCCTGCTCTTACTGGTGCGGCACGGCACAGGGACCAATTTTTGGGTTGATGGCACCTGTGCGCATGGGCACTCCTCCGACCTGGATGTGCGCTGGAAATAACATGTGTGCACACATGCGGAACGGAGAAGCACCCGTGCGCATGTGCACACACTATTTCTGGCGCACTTCCGGGTCGGAAAAGTGCCAGAAATAATGTGTGCACTCGTGCCCGGGCGCTCCTCCAACCCTGAGCTACTTGGAGAAAAAGTTGTAATTGCAGTAAGGATGGGGATATCATGTTAGGGATGTGCTCAGTTCTTCAGCCTGGGACAGGCAGCAGATTTAGCCCCTACTCCCACTGGATACCCTTACGCTAAAACATTGCATCTGGGGACCGTGTTTTATCGCTGTGTTTCTATCCTATGAAGCCCAGCCTACAGAAGGGCTCCTGCAGCTGCTGACAGTGTTTCACATAGGGCTGGACTTTACCTACCACCCCTGACAGCCCCATAGTTGCAGAGAGGCAGTCCACTGGGAGGGGAGGCGCACTGCATGCGCAAGCACACCCTGGGATGTTGGCAGTACACACCACCTCCTTCTACGTCGCCAGTGGGGATGCAAAGCGAAGTGGGTTAGGGGGTTGGTGGGACCACATTTTGAAAAGCCAAGGCACATTGCTCGCTGCTGTGATATGGAAGCTGGGGGTGGGGAGAATACCTATGGGTGATAGCTTTGCAGAGTGACAAGTGTAACTGAAATCAAATAAGTAGCCGTGTTGGTCTGATGCAGTATATCTGTGTGTGTGTGTGTGTGTGTGTGTGTGTGTGTGTGTGTGTAGTCCAGTAGCACCTTAGAGACCAACTAAGTTTGTTCTTGGTATGAGCTTTCATGTGCATGCACACTTCTTCAGTATCTGTGGGTATCTGAAGAAGTGTGCATGCACATGAAAGCTCATACCAAGAATAAACTTAGTTGGTCCCTAAGGTGCTACTGGATTATATATATATATATATATATATATATATATACACACACATACACACACACATATATATATATATACATATATATATATATATATATATATATGTTCCAGTAACAAGAAGCCGAAAGCACCAGCCTGAAGATGACGAGTGAGACCTCGTCGAAACGTCGCCTAGACACCCCAACTTTTACACGGGAAGACACCCGAGGACACCAAAACCTGCATTCCTGTACCCGTGAAAATCTACGAAAGCATATATATATATATATATATATATATATATATATATATATAAAATTTCTACTGAAATCAGATACATAGCATTTCAGTTGCCTCGTCACTGTATGGCATGATGCAACTCTGTTCACCTTTTCACAGGTGTGCTGTTCTCTCTTTATCTGTACCAGGTATGCCTTCAACAGCAGGAAGAGTTTACCTCTTTGGAGGAGAAGCCGCAATTCCCCGGTGCCTCGGCCGAGTTCGTAGACAAGCTAGAATTCATCCAGCCTAATGTCATTTCAGGGATTCCCATCTACCGAGTTATGGACCGACAGGGGCAGATCACCAACCCCAGCGAGGACCCTCAGGTAAGACACAAGGGCCTTGTCAGTTTCAGTGCGCTGTGCAGTTCTGCATTGCCACTAGAAAAAAAATATCAAGAGGTTCTTGCAGGAGCCAAGGAATTTTGAAATGCTTTCCTTCGGCCCTGTTCAAATATTTTTCGTCCAGCGGCATTTCTCCCTCCATTGCAGCTTCCCCAAGAGCAGGTGCTGAAATTCTACAAGAGCATGACGCTTCTCAACACCATGGATCGGATTCTGTACGAGTCCCAGAGGCAGGTATGGCCGCATTTCACACACACACAGATTCTGCCCCCGTCATTCAAAAAACAAATTGTCCTATTGGGAGGGTCATACAAAGTATCTCCTGACTTGGGGATGTGGATGTAGCCCGGCCTTCTCCAACCTGATGGTTTGGTTGGACTTCCATCACCCTTGAGCACTGGCTCTGATAGCTGGGGCTGATGGGAATTGTAGTCCAAAACACCTGGCTTACAGCAGGTTGGGGAAGTTGATCTAATGTAGGACTGTCCGACAGGTCGATTGCGATCTACTGGTCGTTTGCGGGATGCCCTTGTCGATCATGGTTGATCATGCCCCCCCAAAAAAGCTCAACAACTGGGTAGATCACTGCCAGTTTTTTTATAGTGGTTATAGATCGCAGTCTCTTGGAAGTTGAACAGCCCTGATCTAATGAATAGACAGAGTAACATGCACACAAAGCTGGGCCTAGAGGCCTTCACCTTCCTTAGAATCATCAAAGTGTAGAGTTGGAAGGGACCATGTGAATCCTCTAGTCCAGTGTTTCCGAACCGGTGTTCCGCGGCACACTAGTGTGCCGCCGGACGTTGCCTAGTGTGCCGTGGGAGGGAGGCGGGCGAGTCGGGCTAATCCTCCGACGAGCTCCACCTCCAGACCCATTGCTCAAATCCTTTAACCCAGGAGGGCGGGGAGGGGGGGGAGAAAGAGAAAAAAGAAAGGGTGGAAAAAAAGAAGGGGAAGAGAAAATATTTTTTTAAAAAAAGGAAAGAGAGGGAAAAAAGCGAGGGATGGAGGAAGGGGAATAAACAGAAGGGGAGGACAATGAAGAGGGGCGGGGCTTGGCAGGCAGCAGATAACTGGGGAGGGGGGCGCGGCTGGCGGCGGCTCAAGGCAGGAAGGGAGGAGCTGCCTCGCGGAGAGTCTTGGGCTGCAGAGATTTCCCGTTCAGGAGCGCGGGAGGCCACGCCGTGGATGGGAATCTCCTCCTCCTCTTCCTCCTCCTCCTCCAGGAGAGAGGGTGGTCCGCCCCACCGAGTCGGGCCTGCTCAAGCGTGGGAGCCTATAGTTAGAGCTCAGCTCCTTTTCTTGCCTTCCCCGCCCCCCCCGGAGCACATTTTCCTCGCCCCCCCAACCCCCGCATGTAGAATAGAAGCCCTCCAGCCTCCACGGTGCACAAACTCTCCCCTCTGCAACGAAGCGCTTTGTTGCATATCTTTGGTGAGGTTTTTAGGCAGTCTTGGTGCACCTTAAATCAGCGCTAATTGCGCCTGGACGCAGTATTTACTTCCGAGTAGGCCCCCTTCTCCCCCCCCCCCCAGTAGCACCGGACGTTGCTCTTCGTATCATCAGGTTTGTTTGTTGATAATTTAACAACAAACAAAGAGCTCTCTCCCACCCCCAGACCCTTGGGCAAAACAGAAACACACACATACACAAACACAGAGATTGAGCCCTGCAGGTTTTATGAAATGAATGGATTCTGAATGCCTGTTTCAGTGGCTTGTCCGCCTTAGGCTGCTGGGCCAGACACCTGTTACACGGTGCAGTCCGTAAGCTGTGAGCGCTGCTACCTGCCGCCGAGACCACGTAACGACAGTCTTGAAAGACCTACATTGGCTCCCAGTACCTTTCCGAGCACAATTCAAAGTGTTGGTGCTGACCTTTAAAGCCCTAAGCGGTTTCGGTCCAGTATACCTGAAGTAGCGTCTCCGCCACCATCGTTCAGCCCAGACACTGAGATCCAGTGCCAAGGGCCTTCTGGCAATTCCCTCACTGTGAAAAGTGAGGTTACAGGGAACCAGGCAGAGGGCCTTCTCGGTAGTGGCGCCCGCCCTGTGGAATGCCCTCCCATCAGACATCAAAGAGATAACCATTACCTTCTATGCTGTTACTATTTTTTTATTTTTTTTTACATAAGTAAAAAGTGACCTTTCCCCATCTGGCATGGTGGTGTGCCTCGAGATTTTTTTCATGAAACAAGTGTGCCTTTGCCCAAAAAAGGTTGGGAAACACTGCTCTAGTCCAGCCCCCTGCCATGCAGGAATCTTGCCCAACCCACAACCCTGACTCTTTTGCTCTCCTAACTGAGCTATCCCTCCCTCCTTCTATGACTAAGTTCAGTTTGTTTTCCTTAGGGTCGGATCTCCTTCTACATGACCAACTACGGGGAGGAAGGCACCCACGTGGGCAGCGCAGCGGCTCTTAGTGACACCGATCTGGTCTTTGGACAGTACCGTGAAGCAGGTAAGGGAGAGTTCACTCTCCCTCCCGCTGAAGTGTGGTGTGCTACTAGCTGCTCAGCCACTGGGTGGCAGCACATGACAGCTCAACACTGCAGCGCTCTTAACAGCATTGGGCATGTTTGCATCCTCAGCTCTCACCCCTGCAATACTTCTTCTTTCCTGTTATTCCATTTTTTAATCATTTGTTCCTATTTTCCCTTAGGATACACTGTCTCTTGGGCTGGTTAGTTCTGCACACCGTGTGACTGTTTATAAACAATTAAAGGAGCCGATTAGACAGGCACATGGTACCATGTGCTTTAAAGGTTGATTGATCTGTTTTTATATTCCATAATAGCAGCCATCGCAATAGGTGTTCTTAATAGGCCTCCTTTTCTGCAGTGTAATCTTGAATTTATTTTATAGTAGGCTTTTGAACCTTGACTGAGATGGCTGCCCCCCCCCCAAATGCTCTCCTCTCATTCATCAAATGTGGAAGAAGCATTGCTCCTGAACTCTGTGCATCAACTAGTGCGCTGTTAATACCATTACTGGCTTCTCACTCTGATAAAAGGTGCTTCTGGTTAATCTCATGTTCCCTCTTGCTCCTCTTAGGTGTACTGATGCACAGAGGGTACCCTCTGGACCTGTTCATGGCACAGTGCTATGGCAATGCCAGCGACACTGGGAAAGGCCGTCAAATGCCCGTGCACTACGGCTGCAAAGATTTGCACTTTGTCACCATATCATCCCCACTAGCTACGCAGATCCCACAAGGTGAGATGAAAACGGGGTTAAAAATTTCCAAGATGATAAAGGGTCTGGAAACCAGGCCTAATTATTATTATTATTATTATTATTATTATTATTATTATTATTTATCACCGCCCTCCCCAGCCAAGGCCGGGCTCAGGGCGGCTAACAAGCAATAATAAAAACAAGTTGAATGAATACAACTTAAAAACAAGATTAAAATACAACGTTAAAATATTGAAACATTAAAATATTAAAATGCAGCCTCATCACAGGAGGAGAAAGGAAAAAGAAAAAAGAAAGAAAGGGGGAGGGAATCAAATTTGCTCCAAGCCAAAGGCCAGGCGGAGCAACTCTGTCTTACAGGCCCTGCGGAAAGAAATCAGATCCTGCAGGGCCCTGGTCTCATGAGGCAGAGCGTTCCACCAGGCCGGAGCCAGAGTTGAAAAGGCCCTGGCTCTGGTTGAAGCCAATCTAACTTCCTTAGGGCCTGGGACTACTAGGGTGTTGCTATTTATGGACCTTGAGGCTCTCTGTGGGGCATACTGGGAAAGGCAGTCCCGTAAGGACGAGGGTCCTAGGCCGTGAAGGGCTTTAAAGGTCAAAAGCAGCACCTTAAATCTGACCCTGTACTCCACCGGGAGCCAGTGCAGCTGGGAAAGCACTGGGTGAATATGCTCCCATGGCCGAGACCCCGTGAGGAGCCTCGATGCAGCATTCTGCACCCGCTGGAGTTTCTGGGACAGCTTCAAGGGCAGCCCCGCGTAGAGCGAATTACAGTAGTCAAGCCTGGAGGTGACCGTCACATGGATCACTGTGGCCAGATCACTGCGGAACACTTGAGGGAACTGGGTATGTTCAGGCTGAATCGGTGGTTTAGCTTGATCTGTGGTAGCTTCAAGTGCACATAGTATCTGATCCTCTTTCCCTCTGGCAGAGTCAGGAGGTGTGAGACACCCCAGGCTGGCAAATCCCCCTTTGGGGTCGTTGCCAAAGGGGTCTGGGAGCTCAGCGGGTCACGACACTGCTTAGTATGGGCAGATCCTCTGCTTTATTAATGACAAGGGTTTGTTACAACAAAGCAATCCTTTGTTTGAAGACACAATCACAGTGAATGCACCCATCTCTTTCCTTTCCCTGTCCTCATTCCCTCTCTCCCCTCCCCATTTGGCAGCTGTTGGCTCCGCCTACGCCATCAAGAGGGAGAACACCGACCGGATTGTCATCTGCTACTTTGGGGAGGGCGCGGCCAGTGAGGGTGATGCCCACGCAGGCTTCAACTTTGCCGCCACCCTTGAGTGCCCCATCATTTTCTTCTGCCGCAACAACGGTTATGCCATCTCCACCCCGACGTCTGAGCAGTACCGGGGCGACGGAATAGGTGAGGGGGGTCAGGCCAGGGTGTGGGTGGGTGGGGTGGAGAATGCTCTGAGGCTACATGACCTTGCCCTCCTGCCCCAGATTCTGGGTGAAGCAAGAATAACATAGAAAGTCCACTTTGGAAGGCTCTACGGTCACCAGCCACTGCCGCATAACTAGCACAGAAATATATGTGCCTTTTTTTCATCTTAATTTTGGCATTGTTTCATCAACTGTCCCGGAAACACCTGCTGCACCGTGAAGCGTGGCTTCCCAGAGTAGAGCGTGTCATGTTGGGAGTGAAAGTTAATTTTTGCAAATTTCCTCAGTTAGGGGTCTTAAAATCATGTTTTTGAGGTGTGAGGAATTCAAATCCGCTATTATTTTTGTGATTAGACAACATTTAGCTCTGTAAGTCTGCATTTGATGAAGAAACATGTAAACTGTTTTCGGGAAACCCATGAATTTTAATATTAACTTCTGAAAATGATGAGTAATGCTAAAGAATAATAATGTATAACTGCAAGTTCTTTGCAATCATTTTTAATTATTTCTATGCAGGTTTGCACACATATTACCTATACTAAGTAAAATTAAATTATATTTATTCAACCAAAATACAGTGGTACCTCAGGTTAAGTACTTAATTTGTTCCGGAGGTCCGTTCTTAACCTGAAACTGTTCTTAACCTGAAGCACCACTTTCACTGATGGGGCCTCCTGCTGCCGCCGTGCCGCCGGAGCACAATTTCTGTTCTCATCCTGAAACAAATTTCTTAACCCGAGGTAATATTTCTGGGTTAGCGGAGTCTGTAACCTGAAGTGTATGTAACCCGAGGTACCACTGTATCTTTCGAATTCCCAAATCAATGTCATGACTTCTTAGCACCTCTCATTTTTGGAATTTGAAAGTTGAACAGTCCAATACTCCCTATTGCCAGAGTGCCCATCCTTTGCTTCCTTCCCACAGCTGCACGTGGTCCCGGCTACGGCATCCAGTCTATCCGGGTGGATGGCAACGACGTCTTTGCCGTGTACAATGCCACCAGGGAGGCCCGTCGCCGGGCTGTTGCTGAGAACCAACCCTTCCTGATTGAAGCCATGACCTACAGGTAGGTGTGGAGCAAGTGGGGGGAGTCAATGGAGCACAAGTCCCATAGCCTGAGAAGGAAGTGACCTGATGTGGGGGGCGGGACCAAAGAACCCACCTGAATCATGAGCTGCCCGTTTCCCTCTCAGGATTGGACATCACAGCACAAGTGACGACAGCTCCGCCTACCGCTCGGTGGATGAAGTCAACTATTGGGACAAGCAAGACCACCCTATCTCTCGTCTCCGTCACTACATGGTGGGCAGAGGCTGGTGGGATGAGGACCAGGAGAAGACGTGGCGGAAGAAATCCCGCAAAAGGGTGAGTGGCTTGGATGTATGGTGTCCACGTTACCCTCCTGAGAGCCAGTGTGGTGTAGTATTTAAGAGCGGTAGACTCGTAATCTGGTGAACCGGGTTCGCGTCTCCTCTCCTCCACATGCAGCTGCTGGGTGACCTTGGGCTAGTCACACTTCTCTGAAGTCTCTCAGCCCCACTCACCTCACAGAGTGTTTGTTGTGGGGGAGGAAGGGAAAGTTAGCCGCTTTGAGACTCCTTCGGGTGGTGATAAAGCGGGATATCAAATCCAAACTCTTCTTCTCCGTCTTGGCTGTGTTTCTGTGGCTGCCTGCTTGCGATAAATAGGCAAACGTTCAGGATACGTACACCCCCATCATTCAGCCCAGACACCAAGGTCCAGCTCCAAGGGCCTTCTGGATGTTCCCTCACTGGGAGAAATGAGGTTACAGGGAACCAGGCAGAGGGCCTTCTTGGTAGTGGCACCCGCCCTGTGGAACGCCCTCCCATCAGATGTCAAGGAAATAAACAACTACTTGACTTTTAGAAAACATCTGAAGGCAGTCCTGTTTAGGGAAGCTTTTAATGTTTGATGTTTTATCGTGCTTTTAATATTCTGTGCCCAGAGTGGCTGGGGAAACCCAGTCAGATGGGTATAAATAAATTACTACTAGTACTACTTCATCATCAGGTTAGTCCTGCCTGTGAAGTTCTCCATTGTGTTTTGCCTCTCTGAATAAAGAATCGACTTTACTGCTCATCTCTGAGTTTCTGTGCTGAACTGCAGCCAAACAAGCCCTGACACAGGGAAATTCCAGTGCTCATCCGATCAGCTTTCTAAAATAGAACCACTTCTTTGTGTTGAATAGAAGCATCCTGGCTGAGGTGGGACATAACCGTGGGTGCTCCTTTTCAGAGAAGCCAGGCGCCTGCCCCACCCTCCTTTTCTTCCACACAGGATTGTAAAGCTAATCACAGGTCCAGAACGGGGACTCCCATCTCTGCTTTCCTTTTGTGTTCCTCAGGTGATGGAGGCCTTTGAGGAGGCGGAGCGCAAGTTGAAGCCCAGCCCTCAGTTCCTCTTCTCCGATGTCTACTGCGAGATGCCCTGGCACATCCAGAAGCAGCAGGAATCCCTGGAACGCCACCTCAAGCAGTACGGCGAGCACTACCCGCTGGGCCAGTACGAGAAGTGACCCGCCTTCCCCTCGCCTCTCTGCCCTCCAGCACCTGGGATGTGCAGGAGATCTGGCTCATACCAGCGTGCAGAGAGAAAGAGAGGGAGGTTTTGTGTTCTGGGCAGCCCCTTCCTTGTCACAGTGGCAATCATTGAAAGGGAAGGATCAGTTGCTAAGAGACTCCGCACCGGGGGATCCCTTTTGGATACTTTGGGGCTGAGGGGCTGGCACCTGTAAGCTGTGTCACTGGGCCCCACACAGGGGCTTCAAGCTAGCTTGTGGTAGCAGCCCAGACTGTTACTTTGCCCCCGTTTTTAGAATCTGCTAGTTGCACAGAGCCTGTTCAAAGCACACGAAACATCCACGGCTCTCCTGCTGTGGATGTGAATTGCCTTAGATCTGCTGCTTCCCCGACTCTTGGTACCTTTTCCCTCCACGATTCTGTCATTCAGCCAGAAATTGGGCATAAGCCAGCCGGCAGCACCTTGGTTGCCCCTGTGGGGGGCAAGCATTTTTGCCAAACGGATCCCTAATGCCATCGTAAATGTCTCTGGAACTGAAGACCACTTTGGTGGAATCTGCCGCTAGAAGTCAAGATGCGCTGTCTAGAGTGGGAGGCCGCAGCTGGTGTCCTGTCTGGGAAGTAAATCCAGGCCCTCTTTGGATAGTGTCTTTTGGGTGATAAATGGCCTTTTTAAGGGATGTGAACCTCAAGCTGTCATTTTAATTTGGGGGGGGGGGGGTTTAGCAGCCAGGGAGATGAATGCTGAAAGAAGAAGTTACGGTTGTCTTGCCTGGCCTTCTTTTCCTGAGCCCTTTCCCCGATCTAAACTGGCACCTGGAGGGGGGAGCTCTCTTGGTCTGTTACGCTTGAATCAGAAATTCTTACCACTGAAAAGCAATGGTTCTATTTGGGCTGCTGGGAGTAACAAGTGTCTAGGCAAATGTATGTATGAACAAAGGGGCACATTGGGGAATTAATAAAACTTTCGTGGGCATTTGCCTCTCTGCAGTCTGCTTTTCGACCAATGAGAATCTGCAGCCAGGGGTGCAACATCCTTGGTTGGGATAGTTATCAAAATGGGTGGAACCCGTTTGGCAGTCACTTGGGAAGGAAAGAATGGCACTTTGCACGTGCTCAGAGACACACTGCCTTCGCTTCACAGGAGTTAGGGCTTGCACCCTAAATCGAATCAGGCTGTGGATTCATGTTAGATGAATTCATGTTAGAATGATTAAAACTGTGGTAGAGCAAAGTTAGCTGCTGCTTCTCATCTCACCCTGACTGCGATGAATATTCTACAGTTGCACTACAGCGCCATAGGGTCGCATCCACTGCCAGCCCTCCTCTGAGTAGACCTACTGAAGTTAATGGCCATGACTAATGCAGATTTATTAATTTCAGAGGCTCTTGTCTGAGTAGAACTTGATTGGAAAAAGGTACTAGGTACAGAATCCATCATCTTCAACATCTTAGAGCAAGTTCCTTAAAATTTTGTAAAATTTCCTAGTTTACTTGTTATTTTCTTCTCTGCTTTGTTTTACCACCTGTCAGCCATAATGTGGAAGGACACTATAAAGATTCCTTGGCCATCTGCTTTCCTGTCTACACCCCCGTTCTTTCCCTTTGATACCACCTGTCGCCCTTCCATTTTTTGCCTCGGCCGCTCGCCCCAGTCAAAAGGCAGACTTTTTGGTTTATAAAACAACACTGAAAACAGCTTGCCTCCCTGCTGCGCCATCATTTAGGAACCACTGCCTTGCTGCAAAATAATAGTTTGGCACTAGATTACTAGCCTGGTATTTTAAAAGCACTTGCGAATACTTTCCAAAGAGCAGCAAGAAGTATAACTTCCAACCACAGCAGACACGAATCACATCATCAATACACAGCACCTGAGGCATATTTTATTATGATATCTGTACATCATTGCAGCGTGGGAGAAATAGTCTTCCCTGCTCTTTAAATAGATCACATGGAAACATCCGAACCTTCCTCAAATTTCTGTGTAAGATGCAGCCAAGAGGCAGCCACTAATAGCCTGTGATTTCATAGAACACCTCTTTTTTGCCATTGATGAAGGTGGACACTTTTCCTTAAGGTGTATTTAAACACTAGGAGGCCAATAGCACAGACAAGTTTGCTGGGCTCCTTTGTTCGCCCAGGTTCTCTGGGTGCCTTGGACCTGGGAGATCAAGCCACAGACCTTAGGGGGGAAATGCTTGCAGTGGGTAAACACGTCAGATAATACAGAACTCTTCAGCAGGATCCGCCCAGCCTGTACCCAGATCTGGCATTGGGGTGATGAAGGTGAGGTCCAACCCAGACTCGGTACCACTCTTACCTGATCTTTATAAGCAGCCTGACAGGTGTGAACCAGGCAGAGGTTTCCGTACCACTTAAGTCATGGGGAGGCAAACTAAGACCCAGGGGCTGGATCCAGCCCAATCGCCTTCTCAATCCGGCCCGCAGACGGTCCGGGAATCAGCGTGTTTTTACATGAGTAGTATGTGTCCTTTTTATTTAAAATGCATCTCTGGGTAATTTGTGGGGCACAGGAATTCAATCATATATTTTTTTCAAAATATAGTCCGGCCCCCCACAAGGTCTGAGGGACAGTGGACCGGCCCCTGCTGAAAAGGTTTGCTGACCCCTGACTTAAGTCTTTCTGCAGAAAGTGTCGTAAAAGCTGCACCTGCTTTTCAACGTGTCCAAGTACTTTTCTGCTAAAGGCCAGGACAAAAAGATGGCAGCCTTAGGATCCTGAGGGGTGGTTCATGTCTGCAGCCCTGCTTGCTTCAGCGGGAAGAAAACGGCATTCAAGTTGCATGTTGGATTTTTAATATTTCTGATTAGCTGATTAGCTCTGGTACATGAGCTGTTTAAGAATCCCACTGTGTGATCAAAGAGTTTGATTGAAAGCAAATTTGACAAGCCCCTGAAATGTACTGATAAGTACCCAAAGGCCATCTAGTCAAACCCACTTGCCATTGCAGGAAATCTATCAGTGCGACATCCCTGGTAGGGCTGCAGACCTTCACACCAGAAAAATGTTTTTAGCAGGGGTTGATCCTCCAAATGTTTTTTAACCTGGGTGATCTGAGAGAGTCAGAGTTGTTTGCCTTTCCAAATCTGAAAATTTATCATTCCCTAGCATTGAGCTGTTGCAGTAGAATTGCTCCCTCCTTATTTTCACATCCCTCCTCTATGCATGTGTAGGTTTGTTTCTTTCTAAAGGCAATGGCAGCTTGGATATTTGTTCCCCACGCACCAAGATGGCCTTAACGGATTGGAGAACTGGGCCAAAAATAACGAAATTAATTTCAATACGGACGAATGTAAAGTTCTGCACTTCAGGCAGGAAGAACCAGATGAACAAATATAAGATGGTGGGGGACAGGGACACCTGGTTTACTAACTAACAGTACGTGTAAAAAAAGGATACTGGGGTATTAGTGGGACCACAAGTTTAACTTGAGTCAACAATGTGACACAGCAGCAAATAAATAAATAAAAATACTAATGCTATTCTAGGCTGCATCAACAACAGTCTAGTGCAGGGGTCTGCAACCCGCGGCTCCGGAGCCGCATGTGGCTCTTTTACACCTTTGCCGCGGCTCCGGGGCGGATACTAGCGAGGGGAGGAGGCGCATTGTGCGCCCCGACACTCCCCACTGTGGCGGGTGCTGTACTGGCTGTGATGTCGCATGGGGCGGTGCGTGCGTTAGTCACGCACCGTCCCGACGTTACCTTCCCGCCCGCTGTCAGATCGTGGCTCCGGAGATATATTTGTTTTAGATGTTGCAATGGTTTTGCGGCTCCCAGTTTTTTTCCCTTCAGAAACGGGTCCAAGTGGCTCTTTTTGTCTTAAAGGTTGCAGACCCCTGGTCTAGTGTTTTGATCAAGGGATCTCGTAGGACCACTGTATTCTGCCTTGGTCAGACCACACCTGGGATACTGTGTCCAGTTCTGGGTGCCACTATTTAAGAAGGATATGGACAAGCTGGAACGTGTGCAGAGGAGGGTGACCAAAATGATCAAGGGTTTGGAAACCAAACCTCATGAGGAACGGTTGAGGGAGCTGAGTATGTTTAGCCTGGATAGGAGGAGACTGAGAGGAGATATGAAAACCACCTTCAAATATCTCAAGGGCTGCCACACAGAAGATGGAGCAAGCTTCTTTTCTCCTGCTCTGGAGGGTAGGACCTGAACCCATGGCTTCACACAGCTGTCCATGGAGGCGCAGGTCAATTCTGTGTCCAGGGCAGCTGTCATCTGGTACGCAGGCTGAGACCCTACCTGCCCACAGACTGTCTTGCCAGAGTGGTGCATGCTCTAGTTATTTCCCGTTTGGACTACTGCAATGCGCTCTACGTGGGGCTACCTTTGAAGGTGACTCGGAAACAACAACTAATCCAGAATGCGGCAGCTAGACTGATGACTGGGGCGGCCCCCGAGACCACATAACACCGGTCCTGAAAGACCTACATTAGCTCCCAGTACGTTTCTGAGCACAATTCAAAGTGTTGGTGTTGACCTTTAAAGCCCTAAACAGCCTCGGTCCAGTATATCTGAAGGAGCGTCTCCACCCCCATCATTCTGCCCGGACACTGAAGTCCAGCTCCGAGGGCCTTCTGGCGGTTCCCTCACTACGAGAAGTGAGGTTACAGGGAACCAGGCAGAGGGCCTTCTCGGTAGCGGTGCCCACCCTGTGGAACGGCCTCCCATCAGATGTCAAAGAGATAAACAACTACCAGTCTTTTAGAAGACATCTGAAGAAAGCCCTGTTCAGGGAAGTTTTTAATGTGTGACATTTTAATGTATTTTTAAACTTTGTTGGAAGCCACCCAGAGTGGGGAAGCCCAGCCACATAGGCGGGGTACAAATAATAAATTATTATTATTCAAGTTACAAGAAAGGAGATTCTGACTAAGCACCAGGAAGAACTCTCCTTTGGTCATACCCCCTGTCTCCAAGCCATACCCCACTTTGGCCTTTTTTAATACCCCAAACGGCTGTTCCAACAGTGCAACCATCTCCCTTGGAAGACGGTGGACCCTCCTTCCTTGGATACTTTTAAGCAGAAGATGGATGGCCACCTGTCATGGATGCCTTCGTTGAGATTCCTGCATTGCAGGGGGTTTGACTAGATGACCCTCGGGGTCCCTTCCAACTCTCCCATGATTCCACAAATGTCTCCTTGAACTCCGATCACACCTTTTGCTTGTCCAGGAGGAGGATAGGTGGCGTCTGTTGGTGTAGAAACCTGCCTCCTGTACAAAGGCCAAATTTACACCCATTGCTCCACCCACTTGTACCTCTGGCCATGCCTACCGCCAGCATGTGGCCCCTCAGAAGATGGCATGGAAGAAAATGTGGCCCTTTGGCAGTAAAGGGCCCCACTCCCACCCCCGGTCGAAGAGATTGAAGGTGGGCCTTGACACAGCCAGACGTGTCCTCTGCCACTGCGATACCACCCTTTCCGAATGACTCTTCAGAAAAACGCCCCTCTGGTCTTCTGCTTTCTACAGGGCTGCCCGCTGCGCCACCGGCCAACCTCTCCCCTCTCCATGCTGCCACCCCAGAGCACACATAAAACAGAAACCTAAGGAGAGGCCTAGGGAAGAGGGTCTGGTGCCCCTCTGACCCAGTATTCGGTTTCTGGCCCCTGCCTCTAGGAAGCGCCCAAGCAGAATACGAAGGCAGTGGCGTGGCGCCGCCACTCGGAACTGCCCTTTCTCCGCACACAGACTTTTCAAGGAGGTCGTTCCCCTCCCTTAACTGCACACCGGAGGTCCCCGTGTCCAACAAAGACACAGAAGGCTGCGCCACATCTGCTTCCGTCCACCTTCAGCGCTCGGCAGGAAGCGTCTCGAACCCATTGTTCCTGACTCCCATCGTTCAGCAGCTGAGGCTCGGGTCCGTGATCTGCTTCCACAGCTGGAAGGTCTGTTGGGGGCTGCGGCGGTGGACCAGCAGCAGCCTGCTGTGAACGCAAGGAT